CTTGGTTCTGAGTCTTTTCTATTTTCTCTGGGGGTCGGGTTTTTGGTTATTGGATCTTGCCGGGCGGCTAGGGAATCCTCAGCATTCATGTATTTTTGGGCTTTGGAGAGTAGGGTTGCCATGGGGGTCAGGGGGTTTTTAGAGAGGGAGAACAGGAAGTCGGACGACCGCAGACTGGCCATGAAAGCAGTGAGGATGACCTTGTCATCATTTTTCGCTACTTCCAGGGCCTCGGTGTTGAAGCTAGAGATGGCAATCGGAACCCGGCCCGACGGGGAACCGATCCCCCGACCCCGAATTGAGTGGTGATTCCCCGAAAAATACCCCCAACGGGCCGGGAGTGGTATTAAAAATTAAATCCCCAATGATATACGGGCCAGGGACTGGGATACATGTTTCAGCCTCGGCCCCACCCCGACCCCGAGCCCAGATCTTCACCCAGCCCAGATCCTCGCCCTGTTTTCCCCGATATAAAATTACTGTTTTGCCCTTATATATATAACATATATAGGGTATATATATATAACATATATAGGGTTTGGTTGAACCAAACCGCAGCCTCTTCTCCTCCCTTTTATCTTCCTCTCTCTCTCTCTCCTCTCTCTTCTACTCTCACTCTCGCACCTCTCCGCGACGCCAATCGCCTACTCCGTCGTCCTCCTCCGTCGTTCGTCGTCCTCCGACGCCGATCGTCCTCATCCGTCGTCCTCCTCCCCTGATCGTCCTCCACCGATACAGATCTTGTTTTGAAACAGATTTTGTGTGGAGGGTTTGTATGAAATACCATTAACCAAACCAAACCTCAGCCTCATGCCCTAGGGTTTGGTTTTGTGTAGAGGGTTTGGAAATACCATTAACATATGTGTATTGGGTTTGTATGTGTATGTATGTATACAAATTTTTTTTTTAAAATTTTTTTTAAACGAATACAGATCTGTTTGTGTATGCAAATTTTTTTTTTGAACGAATACAGATCTCTATAACAGATCTGTAAGTGAATTTTTTTATTTTTTGTTGAACGAATTTTTTTTTGTGTAGAGGGTTTGTACGAAATACCATAACAAAACAAATTTGTTATTTATTTATTTTTTTTATTTGTTATTGATTTTTTGATCTGGTGGTGGTGATGTTGTTTTTTGATCTGTTGATGAGGATCGGGGAATTTCGGGGTCGGGGAAACCCGATCCATCGGGGATCGGGGACGGGGAGGGTGATCCCCGGCCCCGTCCCGCCCCGTTGCCATTCATAGTTGAAGCGGGTAGCAAAACTGCGTAGTGACTCCCCCTCGGTCTGTCAAATGTTGAGGAGTTGGGTTGCCGGGCGTCGCTGGTGCTGGGCTCCAATAAAATGGCTGAGGAAGGAGTCACTGAGATGCTGGAAAGTGGAGACGGAGTCTGCTGGTAACTGGCTAAACTACAGCCGAGCTGACTCCTTCAGTGTCACGGGAAAAGCTCGACACATGATCTCGTCAGGGAATGCATGGAGGATCATGAGAGTTCTGTAGGTCTCCAGATGGTCGACTGAGTCCGTCGTACTGTCAAAAAAGTCGATGGTGGGCATATTGAACTTGGGGGGTAGAGGTTTGTCGCGAATGGAGGCGACAAATGGTGAGTTTGCTATGATAGAGGGTTTATGTTGGCTGTTCTGCATGACCCCTTGGAGTTGGAGCTTCATGGCTCGGAGTTCCGCGTCCCAGAGAGGGATGTGGTCACCTTTGGAGGGCAACGGGGGCTGGACGCTACTGGCCTCTCCTTCAAGGATTGGTGCTGGGATCGATGGTTGTGGGCCCCGGGGTGACAGGTTTATACCTAGGAGAGGGGGTTGTAAGCCTTCTCTGTTGGGCGGATTAGGTTGCGGGATAGTATGGCTCGGGGCTTGTTCGTAGTTGGGAGGAATATCGGGAGGCGGTGGAGGGGGCATAGGAAGGTTTCTTTGGAGTAGGGCATTGATCATGGCTTGGTTTTGCTCGGCCATGCAGTTAATGCTGTTGGTAAGCTCGATGAAATATTGTGGTGGGTTGTTTGGATTGGGGAGGTCGGCTTGGTGGTCGGCAACATTTTGGTGAGAAGCCATGGATCTAGTCGTGACCATACACTTCGATGGATAGTGAGAAAGGGTTATTGGAATAGGGTCTCCGGCGACAGTGAACACAACTGGCGCGAGGAGTAAAGCCTTCCCACAGATGGTGCCAACTGATAATACAGTTACGATACAACGGGTTCCAGAGGGAATGGGTCGGACTGGTCCACGCTTCTCCAATCGATATCTGGATGGCCAAGGCCACTTAAGAACCTGCACAGGAGTTCAACGGGGAACGGGGAGTCCCCCAACGAACCCTCCGACGAGCAAGTTAGAGAGAGAGAGAAGTGAAATGTGGAGATATGAATTGGAGATAGAAAACTTAACTTTCTTTCTGTCTTCAACGTCTGCTTCTATCCTTTGGTAATCATTTTGCCGTCCCTTCCGACCTGCCACCTTGGCCGAAAGTCTATGCTGTAGCTTACCTTGTTCAGGGTGAGGGGGTTCTGTTCCGATGGAGAGGTGTTGTCGTAATAAATGCTGTGATGGATTGCATTAATTGCGATGTGCAGTGGCAATAACTTTGCAGATCTTTATCTGCTGATGTGGCTTGTCCTTTGCCTGCCACATGTCTGAATATCATTAGTTCTTCGTGCCATGTTGGCTTCCAGTTGTTCAGGATCTCGTCAGTTGGGTTATGTGTTGGGCTCTAAGTAATGGGATTGGGTTGTTCATAGTGGGCTATGACCTTTGTAGGCATAATCACGTCAAAATTGTATAGAATAGTCCCTATATAAGAGTTTATTTTGTGTGAATCCTTTTCATGGACTCAAGTCTGAGAAAAATTTTGTGGGGAACAACAAATCAACGATTCAATAAAGCCCGACAAACTCACCTTCAACCTTTAATTCACAGTTTCACTCGTAAAGATAACTTATAAAACTGCAATTAGCGTGAGTCTTATCCAAAAAAAAAAAAATTCAATAACACATCATCAGTTTTTGTTCTCTTTTATATCAATCCATCATTAGCAAAGTTCATGGAAAGCTGATGCTAACATATGTCCCACAGCACCACCAAACTCCATTTCTAATTATAATTAGGGGTTCATCTAGTCCAACAATCTTATCTTTTTGTTAGAGGTTGTTTGGGTGTTCTAAATAAGTGTACTTTTTATTTTTTTGGACTAAAAAACTTGAGAAAAAAAAATATGGATGTTTGAGTTAACTTTTTGACTTTTTATGAAAAAATGTGTATTAAAAAATTGTATAAATTAGTGTGTATGAAAAAATTAAGATTGAAAGTTGTGCAGCCGTAATTTTTGAATTTTGGTAAATAGTGATAACTTTTTAAATTTTTGAGTAACTTTTTGACTTTTTGACTTTTTATGGACTTGCCAAACTTGGCCTTAGTATTAAAATCAAAGGAGAAATATGTAGTTGTAGAATATCAGATCACTATGATAAACAGATCTATTTTGCAAGTTTGTTATTACGGGTAGTTCCTACAAACTCCTACAAAGGATCGGACTAATGACGTATACAATATTTGAATTCTCGATGTAGATGCTACATAGTTGGTTCTCATCCTTCAAAGACTACGAGTATAATAGGAGCATCCGTCGACAAAAGGATCACCCTAATATGATCATCTCATGGCTATTGAGAACGAATCAAATCAGATGGTTCTATTTCTCAATCTTTTTGACTTGCTACTACGGAACCAAGGTCGAAAAGATTGAAAAAATCAGTCCTTCTCAAAAATTATGGCAAGTGTACAGGGAATGAATATGTATGCATACTTAAATGTGATATCGTTTGAACAAGTGATAAGCGACCGTCAATACTTTTTCAATTAGAGGGCACTCTAATACTCCGGCTCTTGCGTTCACTGTCTTTGGTATTGTTCTTTTCACACACTAGTCGCAGATTTAAGTATTAAAGTGCCCTCTAGCCAAACAAGCATTAACGGTGTGCTGTCTAGAAGGAAGTGCAGGTGCCTGGGAGTTCGGCACACTCATCGTTTGAACAAGCAGCAGTAGCCAAGGTTTTAAAAAGCGGCCGCAACCGTTACGTAACGCCGTTACGTAACGGTTTTGGCGGTTACCGCTACCCGTTACGGCCGCTTTTGCAGTGTGATTGAGATTCACAGGTGTATCGGCTATAGCGGCTGCCGTAGCGGTCGTAACGGTGCCGTAACAGGCATAACGGCCTATTACGCACCGTTACGTAACAGTGCCAAATTGTTTCTTTAAAAAAAATATAAAAAAAAAGCTGAAAATGGGGGAAGAGGGATAGAGAGAAGAGGGAAGATAGAAGAGAGAAAATGGAGGAGCAACAGATAGAGAGAGAGAAGAGGGAAGATGAAAAACATATTATTGATTTGTTCAAACTGTAAGACCTATGCTATTCTATTCAGCTGCTATCACTAAATCATTTTGTTTGTGTGTGTCTATCTATATATTGTTTGAAAATAATAATAATAATAATAAGTGTAGTCATTATCTATTTGGCTTGGTTAAAATATGTATATATATATATTTAGGCTTTTATTTATTCTCTTACTTTTGTCATTGTTTATCTTATATATAATAGTTAGTGATTGATTTTTTGTATAATATAAAGTCATTAATTATTAAAATAAAATGTAAAAAACTCAGTTTATAGTGATTTAGAAATATGAAATATATTGGATCATACTTAAAAATTTGCAAAAATTGATCAATATTTATTTTTAACCCAATAAATATGATCATGGAAAAAAAATATGCGTATCGGTAAATTTTTTTCAAATTGTGCGAAAAATAAAAAAATTCACAGTTCCGATTACCGCAACCGTTACACTACGGCCTTTACACCCCGCAACCGCAACCGCGTCACCGCCACCGTTACGGCGACCGCAACCGCTTTTCAGAACCTTGGCAGTAGCAGATACTTCTAAGTGCAAATTCACATTGTGTGTCCCAATTTTTGAATAATTTGTAAAATAAGAAAATAAATTAAATTTGCACTATGGTGCAGTTTCTGACAAGTTAAAAACTAATAATCTAAACACACAAACTAAAAGTATTCCTTCCACAACTTCCCAATAACCCTTTGTCATCAATTATCTCATCTGTTGTTACACCATCACTTTTGAACTTGCATCTGGTGTATGAAAACAAGAAACAACAAAACATACACACAGGTGAAGTTGGACATATCTCCTTTAAGTTACATATTGTTTTTGGAAAATGACATAAGCTCTATGAAGATATGCATTGTTACCCTTTTTCTTGTGGATTATGATCTCTACACCCCACTCTTCAACAACTTTTATGTCAAACCCACCAGCCACTACTCAACTTGACCCAACCCTCCTCTTCTTTCACATTATATATATGCCTATGCTCCATTTTTTTATTTTTCTTACCCGCATTTTCTCTTGTACAGTTCTTGCCCTTTTCATTTCACATCTCAAACCTCATCCTCAGATTTTGGTGAACAGGTCACAACAGCATCTGCTACCGTGAGGAAGATCTTGTCCTCACCGATCAAACTTGCAAAATTGGACGTGTGTAGCTTGTCAAGCACCACTTGCCCCGGATTTGCCAACACAAGCTGTGCAACAAGAAGAGTGACTTTTGTAAGGTAACTTCAAGAACATGCTATAAAGTGCATATCGAATACATTTTTAGTAATTCAATTACCCGAACATCTCTCTTATGGAGACTCTGATGTAACTCTTCTAAGGCCTGGATGCCACTGGTGTCGATGTCAATAACGGCTGAAATGAACAAAAAACATCATGAGTCAGTTTAAATCGATCAAACATATAGGGTTTGAGGCTCAAGTAAAACAATAGTACTTACGTGACATCTCAACGATCAAGAATTGGATTTTTGGTAGATATGCAGCTTTCAATAGCTCTTCCTCATCAGTCAACCATCTCAACATCCTGCATAGAAGTTAAATATTAGATTAAATCTACTACAACTGTAACTAAATGCGAGCTCTTTTAAGGTGAAGCAACAAAAGCATCTTCAACAATGATAGCATTTCATAAATTTTATGTGCAATCAATAATTGTGGTTAATTATCCCTTCAAACTGAGTATAACTTGATAATTGTAGGAAATTTTCAAGGTTCGTATTGTTTTCTTCCAATAAGTTTGGAGAGAAAAAAGAGAGTAAAGAAGCACCCTTACCTTTCCTTGATATAGTTGGAGTTCGAAAAGTAGATTGCAGAATCAACTCTCACAATCAAAACACCCGGAACCTTAGTTGCTTCCGGATATTGTTGTATGTTCCGGTAAACATTTGTCATAGGAATCCTCCCAAGAATCGCTGTCCGTGGCCTTGTGACTTGTAAGAGGATTTTAGCAAAGGATATTGAGACCTATCATGACAAACAACAAACACATCAATTAGGTGAATCGCCTTTTAGTTGATTACTAGAATTTACAAATGATCAATTTCACTGTCTCAAAACTTACTGCAACCAAGAGACCTATCTCAACAGAGGCGAAAACCACACCAAAAAAGGCTCCCATGCAAGCAATGAAGTCAAATTTATCAATCTTCCATATCAAAATTGCAGCCTTGAAGTCAATTAGGCCAATGACAGCGGATATAATGATCGACGAAAGAATGGCATTTGGGGTGTACTTAAAAAGTGGTGTAATGAATTTCAAGGTTAGGAATACAATAAAAGACATTACGATGTTAGAAACTGCAGTTTGGCAGCCAGACATGTAATTCACTGCCGAGCGAGAGAAGGAACCTACAAAAATTACAATCATTATTATATACTCATCAATCGATAATAGTTCTGGATTCAATGTAATTTAATTTTTCACAAGTACATATTGTCTAATTTCCATGCTCACTTCTCACCTGTTGCAACATAGCATGAGGTCATCGAGCCAACAATATTCATCACTCCTATTGCAACCATTTCTTTGTTCCCATCGAGTTGATAGTCCTTCATGGCTGCAAAAGTCCTTCCAATCGCTACTGCTTCCTAATCCCAACCAAAAAGAAATTAAAATTAAAACTACTTAGGTACAGAGAAATGAAAATCAAAATCAAAATTTCTCATGATAACAATGTGGATGTGAAATTGGCTCACCGTTAACGCTATCACGCCAGTCACAACACCAATCCTAAACCCTTTAAGGAGATTGTCACCAGTGAAATATATTTGATTCACGGATACAGGATTGATTCCTTTTTCTATATGGTTCACCTGAAGTCATCAATAAAAGTATTAAAAAAAAATTATGACAACAAACTATTTGTTCAAAAGGTCACAATATAGAAATATATACTTACAATTTGAACACCTTGCTTTTCGGCATGAGTTATGAACACAAAAAAGGTGGATAGGATGACAGAGATGAGTGGAGCGATTGCAGGTACCCAGAACAATTTCTTGTTCTTCTTCCCCTGCTCGTCAAATCATGTGAGAATGTGAGAATCTAGAAATACTTTTTGATCCTACAATTATAAATAATTTTTTTTATAATAGTAATAAAAAAAACAAGTTGGGGACTCTTACAATGTACTTAGCAAATAGAAGGAAAGCCAAAAAGGTAGCTCCAATGAGTATAGTCTGCCAGTTCCACTGCCAATGTTGTGATAAAAGATTTAGTACCTTGGAGAGAGAGAGAGAGAGAGAAAGAGAGAGACTTACTCCATGATGGGCTGAGCCAAAAACTGAATGCATCACAGAAATAATATCGGTTTTCTTGGTGAATTTCTTGATGCCAAGAAAACCTTTAAGTTGTTGCAGTGCAATTGTAATGGCAGCACCGGCCATAAAACCAACAACAGCAGCATGGGATAGGAAGTCAATTAAAAACCCCAATCTGAAACAAAATCCAAACCACCATCATAATATGATAACAATAATAAAAAACTTCAAATGAGCTCAAAGCAAGAACATGAACAAACTGTTTATGTCGTTATCACCTGAGAAATCCAAGGGCTGCTTGGGTGATCCCAGCGAAAAATGTAGCTGTAAATGCAAGACGCAGATATTCAGCTGCATTTTTAGTAGGATCGATCTCATTCTGAAGCAAAGTACCCAACAGGAGAGACACAACAGCCACCGGTCCTATTGCTATATCTCGTGAACTACCCATAAAGGCGTAAATCAATGGTGGAACAAAACTCGAGTCTGAGACATTTTAGGGGCAAATGAGAAAAAAATCCAATTAAAAATCTCACAAAACATCAAACATGTTATAGCAAGGCAAGCGGGTTTCTTGATAAGTACTTACACAACCCATATTGGGGTTGCAAATTTGCAAGCTTGGAATACCCGATATCCTGTTTTACAAGTTAGAAGAATTGTTAGAAATGTCTAAATATGAAAATATATATATATTATTCGTTTCAGAATTTGTTTTCTGAAAAATACTAAAAACTAATTTGATGAAAAAAATAATGAAAATTTCAAGAACACTCATCACTTTCAATTCTTTACTCTTTTCATGTTAGTATTTTTCTGAAAACATATTTTGAAAATGACACCAAACAGTTGGGTTTTCTGTTACATTCATGTTTCTGGTAGTATCTAATTTACCTGAGGAATGCAGAGACTTGCAATGGTTAACCCAGCAATAAGATCCCCTCTAAATTTTGATAAATTGTAACTTTGCGCCCACTCAAGAATGGGGAAGACCGCTTGCATGCCAAGGATGATTTTCCGAGACTTGGTTTGATCCTTGAAGTGACGTAGAGGATCATCCGCAAAGAACGTCTCTTTCACAGCGCTTGTGAACTCGTTGAAAAACTTTTGCTTTGGGGGAACCCCCACTTTGTGAATGTATGTTGAGTTCTGCACCTGACATTGTGCGGACGACAAGCTTCTAGTGGCCATCTCTTTTGTTTCCAGTTCCTTATCCGCGTTATGAGCCATTGAAAAGGACTATTCAATTCAACTGCAACACAAAATAAAATTTAAAAACAACAAAAAAAAAAATTGCTGATTTTATAATGTAGTACACCACAAAGATTAACTGTGATATTTTCTACATGCAAAATGAGGCTAACAAACTCCAAAATTTCAAGTTCCAATGTCAAATGCACATAATCACATCCACTTTATTTTTACATTTTTTATTTTTTGAGAGAGGAAAACCATATTCGAAATTGATTATAATCGGATTCTGAAAGTAGGAAGGATAATAGTTAGGAAAATTAGAGCTAACCATGACAAAGTGAATGGAAGCAAGCTAAGGAGGGAAGGCAAGTAATGTTTCAAGTGCACAACTCTTTCTTGAAGAATAGAATCACTTGGGAAGCTCTTATATAGTTCTCAAGCAAGTTACAGGTCAAACTATCCAACTGAAAGAGAGGCTCTCAACAACAGCAAATAAGGCATGAATGTGGATCTCTTTTACTTGTAATATACACAGAGTTGACAAATGTAGGCAAATTTTAAAATTGTGGCTAACCCACCCGTGGATTATTCAACAAGCAGTGATGGATGTAAGCAGTAGATCATCTCTTCCATAATTGTGCTTTTGAGCAAAACATATAAAAACGAGTTGTTTATGAAAACTGTTTAGCAAAACACTTTTTAACAAATACCAAAAAGTTATTTTCGAATTTATGAAATGAAAATAATCCGTGTTTTCAAAGAATTCAATGTTTTGTTTTCCGAAAACATGAAAAATGATAACAAAATTTGAATAAAAACAAAACCAATTAGGGGTAATAGAGTTTGAGGAGGTGTTGACTTTGAGAGGAAAGGTGACAGAAAGCGGAAAATTGAAGTCACATAGAAGCCTTTTCTCCTTTCTGTTGTTTTGATTAGTGCTTCTTATTACTATCATAAAAAGTTCAAAAGAAAGTCTTTTTAACTCTCTTTTAAAAATTCTGAGCCAATAAAGTCGAAAAAGTGGGAAGCAACTTCTGTGTATCACAAGAGGCCACCACAAAGAGCTTCTTTTTTTTTTTTTTTTTTTTTCTTTTTCTTCCCAGTATTCACTGATGTCTTATGTGAAATATCAGGTGAGATTAATATACGTAGTTTTATCCTCGTTCTCTGAAGAAGACTGTTTCCATGACTCGAACTTATGCGCATAGCATTGGGCAAAGCCGCTCTTTAGGACAAATAAACAATAAACTTGTTGAGTAAATTGTTTTTTTATAACTATTTTCAGGAATTTTTTTTTAAAACAACCTACTTTTTTCTAGGAAACATTAATTTTTTTTTTTTGCATAACAATGAAATAGATATGAAAATGATGGGTGTTTTCTTTAAGTTTTCATTGTTTTGATTTCCAAAAACATGAAAACAAAAACGAAGAAAACGAAACGCAACAGACTGACTAAATAATTTAGAACATATTTCATCTTCTTGAGAAAAGGAGAGAGTAGCTTCGGTTATTATCAGTGATAAGAATGTATTATTTTACATGATTAAAATCAAAATAAAAAATTCAGCTGCAATAAGTAAACTATGAGAAAAGAAATGTATTGCTATATCTAGTATAAATTGACATTACATTTTGGCATAATACTGTAATGTACAGCCAAAAAAACAGCATTCAAGGTAAATTAAAAATGAAGTAATGAAGATTTTTATAAACCCAAAATGGAATTAAAAGACCTAATTAACAACTGTAAAAGCCAACTTGACTCCATCAGTCAAATAGATCATAATTAACTGATAAAATTAATACATAAACAACTAGCCTAGCACCTAAGCTCCTAGGAAATGAGTTCAATAATATATATGAAGCTATCCAAGGGCATCTCTAATGGTGTATCAATTTTTTCACCAAATTTAAGTAAAAGCTTCCTTTGATATCAAGTGCTCTAACGAAGGGTTTTGTGGTTTCATCAAACCACCGGTCGACCGGCCAGTGTAATTTTTTCTCAAATTTTTGCCTTGAGGTGGTCATCCAGAGGACATCTGATAGTGAAAATTTAATGGCAATGAACAGTGATTTGATGAAAACACATTGGTCTTCAATTTGATTAAAGAAAAGTGAAATCCTGAATTTGATAGGTATTTGATGAAACCGTTGGAGTAAGAAAAGAAGCAATTTTTCATCAAATTTAAATTTGATGATAGTTTTGAATAACTATTGGAGATGGTTTAACACCCTATCTTGCACATAGAGAGACAAATAGAGAACCAAACAAAAGGAGAAGCAAATAACCAAACAAAAGGAGAAGCAAATAACCAAACGGGGACAAAATATCAAATGCTACCTGAGAGACTTCAACCCTTAACCCTATGCTATTAGAAAATGACTTCAACAATGTATATCAAGCTATCAAGTTACTAGGAAATGAGCCCAACAATGTATATCATGCTACCAAGCTATTAGGAAATGGGCCTAAGATATTATGCTTTGTTCCACCTACATTGTCCAACAAGCCAAACTACTTGACTTGACTTATATTCGGCTCAATAAAAACTCAACGAGACCGGCTCACTATATAAACAAGTCAAACTTGAATAGAGTTTACAACTTGTTAAATTTACAAGTTAAGCTTGAACAAGGTATTATTGGATAGATAAGTTTATATGTATTATAAATAAATAAAAAAAAATAAAAAATCAAACTCCTCGAACCTACTCATTATCAGCTTGAATAAAAATTGCTAGTCAAATACTAAACAAGTCAAATTTAAACCCAATTTAAAGTCAATAAAAAAAACAAATCAATCTTAAACAAGGCTGCTTGGCCCGTTTACTATCCTAATTCTAATTAACTAATACAAAAGAATAAAAACAGAGCATATAAAAAGTAAAGCAATCTCTTACATTTCTTGATTTTGATTAAAATTGATTAAAAAAACAATATTAATCAAAACCAAGAAATCCAACCAACTTTTTGTAGAAGTGGGTATTTTACAATGTCCTTTTTGGAGAACAAAGAACCAAAAATAAGGTCCACAATCTCATTAGCCTCATGAATGCCATTGATAGTGGATGGTACACTACCACCTACAAGAAAGGTGTCCATTCAAATTATTCTAGTATAGGGTCATCATCATACACTTCATATGTATGTATACCTACAATTCAATTTTAGAATGAGAAAGAGAGAGAAACATCAAATCTGGTAACACACCTGATGGTCCAGGAGTTTGTAGAATAAAATAATGATGAGATCCCCAATCCTTGAAGAAGATCAGAGAAAGAAGGGGACACCCAAATCCAGTCCAGATTCAATGTACCAGAAAATTTTAACCCACCTTTTTCTTGGTGATCTTTCAAGAAATAAAATCTCCCTCAAGTGTCATCATGATGCCAAGAACCAAAAACCAGAAATTAAAAAAAAAAAAAAACCGTAAAATTAGGTGTTTCTCAAAGACGACTAACTAGTAATGCGGGCTGTTTGGTTGCCGGGGAAATGAACTTTCTTAGTAACCAAACAGAGAAAATATTTCGCGATCTACTCGGAAGGACAAAGGCATATGTTGTTGATGTGATGTGTTTTATTTTTTTTCCCGACCACGTGTGTTGAATTTGATGGTACTATTGTTAATTATAATTAATATATATGTAGAGTAATGTTAGGGATACTAAATTTTTTATTAAATAAATGACTAAATGTCTCACATGAGTGTACACAATTTTGTGAACCCCATACCCATGTGAGACATTTAATCATTTATTTAATAGAAAATTTAGAATCTCTAATATTTTTCGTACATGTATATTGTGTGTGTTTGTTTTTTAGGACTTGACAACACGAATACGAATGGGCTGAGATGAGATCGGAATTTACGGAACTGCCATCCACGTGTGCATGAAAAGTCAAAAGTTGGGAAAGGAACAAACAATCAAACCTCGTCCATGGGTTTTTAACTCTGTTGGCGTCAGTAGTTAACGGTTGAACCTGGACTTGTTTGCGGGCTCCACACACCGATTGATGACTTAAACTATTTTGGTTACGTAGTTGCTGACGTAGGGAGTCATGAATCTGGAAGGGGTTGACAGCCAGGTTCAGCTTAAGCCCCGTTGGGATGTCTATTTAAGTTAAAACAGTCATATAAAATAAAATAAATTATTTTAATTAAATAAAATAAATATTTAATCATAACTATTTATTTTTTTCTTTTATAAGTGCAAGAGGGGTTAATTTGAGCCCACTAAATTATTTAGGCCCAATAGCCCAAGATTAGTGGGCCCGAATTTATCGCAAGTCCAAGAATCGGTGGGCCCAGATTTATCGCCATCAAACGGATTGAATCGCTCTAAGCCTCGAAAGGGTTCGGATCCACGAACCTAGAGACTTACTCGGCTCTGTATTTTATATTATATTTTAAGATAAATTATAAATATATTCTTTGATATTTAATTAAAATACGAATCGCTTCTTATAATTTTGAAAATTACATTCAACCTATTGAGATTTTTAATTTCATAACAAATCGCTCTTTTTATTAATAAATCATCAAGTCAATTAACAATTTTTAATGATGTTAAAAATATGTTTCAACGAATAATGTAAGTAATATTATTATTGTATAGTAGAGCAATTATGAATTTCATTTTTTTAATTAATTCCGTTAAATAAAAAATTCTAATAAATGAGTATTTGTAATTTTTTAAACCACATGGAGCGATCTTTATTTTAAGCAAACCCCAAGGAGTGTATTTGTAATTTACCCTATATTTTATTTTAGTTTTTACATATGAAATTATGATAGTTAATTTTTATATTTTTTAATCAAGTGGCAATATCTCATTTATGTTACTTCATTATTTAAGTTTTTAATGAAAACCAATCGTGTAACAAATATTTGATTATAAAATGAAGGCAACTCATTTTTCACTAATGTACAGTTTGTCCCACGTGATAAACATATAAGAGCTATATAATGTATGTATATATATATAAAAGTTCATATGTTGAAAATAGGGACGAAGAAATAAGAAAATAGAACATTTGAAATAAAAAATTGTAGCAGAGAAAGGAAGAAAAATAGATAGAAGATTATTATTGTAAAAAATAGAGTTTCGTGATTCCAATTTCGACAAAATCCTAATTCATCTCCTTAATCATTCACAATTTGTTATTGTTTTAATTGAATACTATCACAATTTCATGTGTGGAGCTAAAGTGAGATTTTGTGCAAAGCGCGAGGGTACAAAATGTAATTTACCCAACTTTAATGCTATACGGTATCACCGTCCAATTATAATATCTCACATAGAAAAGTGAATCTCACTATGTTATGCCTCACTTTTTTAGTGGATAAGGTTGGATGGGATTATGAGTACGATATGATTGAATGATGAGATTATTAGCGTGGTAATATTAAATTAGAGATATACGATAAAGTGTGTTTATTTGCATACTGATGTGACTATATTAGTTAGTTGGAATTAAATGTACAAAATACATAAAAACCCTTATCACATAGAAGATAACTTTATTGATTTTGTAAAATGAAAGGCAAAATAGTCTTTTAGCCATCAATTCATGGGAGTGGACTAGCAATCCGACCTGTCTCATAAGAATGCTAATTTCACTATGAGAGAGGATTGATAGTCCCGTAGGATTCGTAATTCCATACCATTGACTCATCTACAAACAAACATGATATAGGTAAAGTTCACGAATTACTAATTCAATTCCCTTTTCCAAGCCCCCAATCAAACATAGCTTAATTGTAACTATTTTATCCAACTCATTTCACCAACTAATACATATGCATAGTGGGTCTAAATACACGTACATGGGAAATAATGATTGGTTTG